CTATTAAAAAAAACCTTAGATTAAATGTTGCAGAGTTGGTTTGGATGATTGTTCCAGATTAAAGCTTTATACATTTTATACCAAACAGAGTTCTTGTTCCATGTTTCTTCTGCAGGGATTTCTCACCAGCTCTGTTCAACAGTGCTCCTATTCTGCCCTCGGGCTCCTCCATGTCCAACCAGCTGGCCCCCCAGCTGAACTCTGACTCCAGCCCAGGACAGCCTTCTTCTCTGGCTCTCAGGCCCAACCAGGACGCTATGCTGACCTCACCGCCTGCCAGCAGCGTCAACAAAGGCCTGGAGGACAACAACGATGGGTATGAGGACAACATTTAAACATCATTTAATCTGATCTTTCTTCCTTTCAACTTCACTGTTCTGCTTTCAGAGTGAAGTCCAGTCTGCTGCTCACATCCGCCTCTAAGATCGAGCCCATGAAAGCCCTGGACTCCCGGTTCACAGAGAGATCAAAGGCCACCCCGGGGATCACGTCGGCCATCTCCTCCACTGCAGGACTCACGCCTCTGGAGAGGTGAGCAACTCAGGGAGAGAACCGTGAAGAAAGAAGTGACAGAAAACTCATCATCTCTCCTTCTCTTCACGCAGCAGGCCGAAGGACGGCGGCTCCGCCCTGAAAGACGCCAAAACCAAAGAAGAGACGAGCAGCGACAGCGAGGACAAAATGGCGGCCATCAACAAAAATCTGGTGTTTGGGAAGAGAAAACCGGAGCTGCTGATGGAGGGAGGAGAGGTGGTGGAGAAGAGGAAGAAAGGGCGGCCGAGGAAAGACAAAATGGCCGCCCCCGTCCCTCAACCTTTCACCNAGCTTTAAATAGTTTTATTTTGAAATTGGTATTTTTAAAAAAAAGAACATCTTTTCTATTATCATATTCAACTTTAATTATCTTTGGAAGCTGTTTTTAGATCTCACAGGAGTTATGCTGAAATTGTATTTACCTGTGTGCATTTATACTTATGATTTTTAGCACCTAATGCAATTAGGTTATCCTTATAAAGTTTACATCCAGTAAGATAACTGCTTTTCTATTGCTTTATTAGTTAATACAAATCAGTGTATACTGCTCAAGTCTTTTTATTGAAGTAATGTATCACGTTGGGAGTTTTTATCGTGTTTTAAATTTCAGAAGGGTTTTTCACGTAAAGGTTATATAATTATATGCACAAGAAACAAGAAATCACAACTATGAATGCGTTCAGCTAACGAGCTGCTCGGCTAAAGGAGGCATTCAGTTTTATCACCTTTCACTTCAAACTTGTCAAATACACAATCCAACAACTCCGTTTTGCAGACAAGTTGTGATCAGCGCATTAAACCGCAGCAACACGGTGATATATTTCACAATCTGATGCTAACGTTAGCTCGTTCATTTCAAGATAGCATAAACTTTACCTGGAGCTGCGATCATGTTGTGTTCCCTCCACAGTCCACAGAGTGCAGACCCCTCCCCCGTGCACCTGTCATCAACTCTGCAGGGGTGCACGGGGGAGGGGTCTGCAGCTGCACAGACCGGGAGCTTATACCGTAGGAACGGGATGAGAGAAAATTTTAGTGGTTCTCAAACCGTGACTTTTTCATATCACAAACCGTGTTTCCATCAAGGCTTTTTGATGCACATTTAGAAGTGTCGCATTAAAAATGCTCTTTAATTCGCGAAAGAAACGTTAAATTAGCCGTTAAGCTGTTAAATGGTTCCATTGTCCCGAGATGATTAGCCTCTGCTAGTTAGCAAGTTTCACTTCCTGTTTACTACTGCAAAGCTTGTCGCCGACATCTGACGTAATCACGCATTGCGTAGCCTCGTTTATTTGCATCAAACAGTCAAGAGGGAAACTAGATGGAAACAGTCTAGATTTGAATTTTTATTTATTTAATTTTTTGCGAATTTTGAAAAGTTCGATAAAAATTCACTCTACAACTGGATGGAAACATGACAAGCAGAGTTTTTCTCCTCAGCCAAGGATTCTGTGCACATCTTTGTACTTTTACTGACAACTTGTTTGAAGCAGAGCTCAGTGTTTTCTTGGAAAGACAGACTTTTAGTGTCATATTTAGGTTATTAAAGGCAGGACACAGAGGAAGTTGTGGCTCCGTTTACACGYTGATTAAATCAAATTGAACATTTTTATTCTACTGATTGGTTAAACTCTGTTAAAACACTTGAAACATTTGTAATCAGAGTTCTACATCACTGACAGAAGTCTGTTTCTATCAGGGCTTTGTTGAAACAAACAAACAAAAAAACAACAACAATCAGGATGTTTCCTGGAACGATTTCGGATCATTTTAGTCAAGAAGTAGGTTTATCTGGAGTTTTGTTCACAGATCCCTCCCTGCAGCTGGTTACCTGTCAAACACATGAGGACTCGACTATCGTTCAGAACCAAGAAGCAGAGATAGCTGGGAGCCGGGTCAAAGAGCTATCTACAACAGGTAAGATATTAACTGCTCATAACGTTTCTCAGATGTTTTACCCGAAGCCACTGTTTTTCGGTCAGCGTGTCGCTGTAGTCTACGTCCCGACGACAGCGTGAGCCTCGGCCGAACATCTTCTCCTCTTCCTCCTCGTAGGTGAGCCTCTCCACCTCAGCGTCGTCTTTGATGATCCACGATGGAAGCTCGTCCTCCTCCATCAGGCGAGGCTTACGCTTCGGGTTCCGGGCGTCCTCTCGGCGCCGGTCCATGTCGATGCGCTGGTGGAGAAGAGGAAGAGAAAGATGACAGCAAAATGACTTTTAAAAGAATTTATGTTGTTTTTTTAAATGAAATGAATAAAGTTTATACAAAAGTAAGACAGTCACAAAGAAAAGATGAAGACTTTATGACCATGATAAGGCTGCAGCGATTAGTTGAAATTATCGATGACGTCGATTATGTAAATTTGTCGACGGAGATTTTTTATTATCAATTCTCTGTATTACATAACACCACACGAATGTTCATGTAATTCCATTTCAGTACCTAAACGCATCATTGTGACCGTATTAACATAAGAGTGGTGAGTTTTCCATGCTTGTCCTGAACGCAGCATCACAAGAGCGTAATGACGTCAGTTCAGTCTGAAGCTTGAAAACAAGCCTCGCAGCTCCTGGAGTCAAATTTACCAAACAGACCACCTCTGAATTATCTGCTGGATTAATAATCTGCTGGATTAATAATCTGCTGGATTAATA